GGCCAATTTATAGTATTATAATTTTTCTCTTGTAAGTTCTTATTGCAATTATAACTAAGTGGAAAGCCAGTGCTCAATGTTTGATATTACAAATATATCGCTCCCAATTAAACTTTCATGTTATTAGTATTGCAATGTTATTTGGTAGCTGAGCAAGTAATAAGATATTTGTGAGCTGCTATCATTGTGGTTTTGTTTAATACTTTTAGGTTTCAGTTCGTGAGGCGTTATCACGATGGTTTGGTTTTCCGTTATTTTTGTTTTTCATCCTTTCATTATTATATGCTGTGTAACCCAAGCTAAGGTATCATTGTGTGAATTATGACATACTTTAAAAAGTAGAGATCAAACTCATATTTGACGTCAAGAAAAAGATAAATGTGAAGGGTACAATGGAACAAATTGTAATGGAGTGGAAATGTATTTGATGTATCTCGCATGTTTTGGCTGTGCCATCTTCCTGCTTTTCCTATGCGATTGGGGCACAAGTGTGTCATTTGCCAATCATGGTTGGCAGTTAAAATAAACGATGCAAGAAATCATTGCTTTTTAATATCTTATGAATGGCATATGAATTATATGATATTTAAAGAGTCTTTGGTTTTAGATTCACCTTTTTAGATGTTTTCTTTTGATTTGATTTTAGCTGTGTCTTCTGCTCTATATTTTTTACTGTTTTTTTTATAAGTCTGATTAAGGTGGAAGTGAAAATTAAATGATCACAAGTAACTGGTACAAACAGAAATATGTAATTTTTATGTTAAAAGTCACAAAGGAATAATATCTGTAAAAAGGAAGTACAAGAAAAAAATTAAGGATTTATGACAAATTATGGTTAATTGTGATATTCAAGAGAAAGTAATAATTTGTTATCAAGAATTTAACTGTTTATCATCAATTTTTTGTTTTTTTCTCATTTTTTAAAATACCGGGAAACCTTTTTTCTAATTGCCCGAAATAAAGATTATGAAATAGTAATGAATTTGCATTGAAATATGATAAAGCAAAAATAGTCAGTGCTGATGAGTCATTCTATTGTGAAAACATATTAATTTGAATCCTGTTCTTAATGAAAAGCAGAAAGAGTGAGTGAATGAGTGAGTGAGTGGGTGAGTGAGTGAGTGAGTGGGTGAGTGAGTGAGTGAGTGGGTGAGTGAGTGAGTGAGTGGGTGAGTGAGTGAGTGAGTGGGTGAGTGAGTGAGTGAGTGAGTGAGTGAGTGGGTGAGTGAGTGAGTGAGTGAGTGAGTGAGTGGGTGAGTGAGTGAGTGAGTGGGTGAGTGAGTGAGTGAGTGAGTGAGTGAGTGAGTGAGTGAGTGAGTGAGTGAGTGGGTGAGTGAGTGAGTGAGTGAGTGAGTGAGTGAGTGAGTGGGTGAGTGAGTGAGTGAGTGAGTGAGTAACAAGATGTAGCAAATGCAAAATGCAATCTGCACATAACCTGTGTATGACATGTCCCATGTATACAAAGGAATTGGGCTCCTCCTCCTCTCTTCACATTTCTATTTCCTATTGCTTGTCCTCTTTCCCTGTCTTTCCTTCAGCTCCTCCTCCTTCTTCTCCTTCTCTCCTTCTCCTCCTTTTCCTCGTCCTCTTCCTCTTCCTGTTCCTCTCCTTCTTCCTCTCCCTTTACCTTCATCTCTTTCTCTCTCTTTTGTTTCTTCTCCTTCTCCCCCCCATCTCTTTTCATCTCCCTTTCCCTTTCCCTTTTCTCCCTCTCCATCTCCCTTACCCCCCTCATCCATCTCCCTTCCCCTATCATTCCTCTTTTTCTCCTTTTACTTTTTATCCCTTTCACTCTCCTTTTATCTCTTATCTGTTTTTGTCTCTCTTTATCTCTACCCCTGTCTCTGTCTATCTCTGTCACTGTCTCTTCTGTGTCTCAATCCGATTCTATCCCTATTCTGTTCTCTCTGTATCTGTTTCCACACATTTGTATTTTTCTTTTTTCGGCCTCCATCTCAACTTTTATGTGAATTTCCATTTGCTGCTTTTCTTTCTAATTGTTATTCGTTTTACTTTCTCCCATCATCATTTCCTTCTCTCCCTCTCTACCGTTCTGCTGGGTCTGCCTAAGTCAAGGGCTGAGGTCACTGCGCTGTTATTGGAACAGCCTGAGGATAGACGCCGTGTGGGGATATTGTCGTTGGGCAGATGGCATTTTGAGTATTGGGATTAGATGACTGTACGCCCGCCATATCGCTCGGCCACCTACGCGCGACTCGCCCTCAGGCACCACTGATTCGTCGTTAATCATCTCTGTCTAGCCCCGTTTGACTGCCATCTCGTCCTTGTGCTGATCCTCGGGCAGGTGTATTATGGCGCCGTCTCGTCGTCTTGTGCATGCCGTCCTCGATCCTTCCTCGTGGTTGCTCTCCCTTGTCCTTTTCTTCCGGCGGCCGCCTTCCCACCGCATCCTGAGGCGACCCGGTAGCTGTCGCAACGTCATCCGTTGGTGCCGTGTCGGATATCCTCGGTCCGACTGCGCCTTTAAGTCGCAGACCAACATCATACAAACAAGGGCAAAGATAATAAAGAGAAAAAGAACGCGACAGAGGGAGGGGATGTTAAGTATTTACTAGCCGTTTGATTTTATATAAGTTTGCAGTTTTTAATGTTTGTGTAGAAATTCGTGAGGATCGATTTGAACCATTTGCCGTCTAGATGGATAAATAAGGAGCATATCAATGAGTTTTTTTCTTTCTCCCTTTCTTTTGGAATTGTATTATCTCTCTTTTGATTCGTATTTATGACAATAGATAAGGGAGACGGTAGCGGCAATCCGGAAGGTTCTACCACTAGCTGTCCCAGAATGATTGATAAGTAGTATATCAATGCGATTTTTCTTTCACACTTTCTTTGAAAACTGCATATTCTTTTTTTCATTTGGTTTGTATAACAATAGATAGAGACAGTAGCAGCAATCTGTGAAGATCACCTTGAATTGCTTGCCGTCTCAGACAGGTTGAGAAGAATGCAACAATAAAAATAATGAGGAAGTACTGGGTATCAAATATTATTCCCTTGTTACGACTGGCACAGTCGCGGGCGAAAGAAATCATGTTTGCGGGCAACTTAGATGTTATAACCGCGCATTTACTGTGATTTCTTCATACATTTTTACAAACACAATAACAAACCCAATTAAAGAGAGATTGCAGTGTCTTTTATTCTGCGTGACCGAGTGTGTATTTGTGAGAGAGCATGGGAGAGAGTGAGCTCACCAAGAATGATTCACAGACACGAAGATTAACGTTCATATTAATATGATAATTAGCAAATGGCATTAATATTAATTTATCACATTGAACTCAACTAATGTTATGCGACTGATTGTCCGCATTAGTGATCGGTGACATGAAAAATTTCCTGCAGGATTCTCGTTGCCACACGAGACTTCAAGGCTAAGAATTGCAACGCACCATCCACGATTCTATTCACTCTACATTTCGGATACGTCTTTATCGAAAGACTTCATCGACAGGGGTTCTTAAGCTCATACTACCGACCAATGATGAAGCGAATTGAATAACGAGGAGGGAAACAATCAATCAATAACACGCTCTCTTCCGCGAATCTGTGATGGGCTTGGATTCTACAAAACATGCAAACGATTTCCGTGAAAATGAGAAGGGTTTAACTAATAAGCGTATAGTGATTCCAGTCTAAAACCCTAGTCCTACAATTATGAACGAACGTAAATACGGTCTCACACTGACTCGAACCAAAGGTGTCAATCAGAATAAACGACTTAGCTTATTTTACCTTCTTCCGTCTTCAACCAAAACATAGCTCTATTAGGCGGTTATATCCGGCGTCGCTGTGTACTATGATAAGGGGAAGATGCTAACGTTAAATAGAATAAATAAATTAATTGATATGGAAAATAACCTCCATCTAAGCGGCAATAGAACGTGTCACCATAGATGTAATGGTGCTACCGTGATTCCTGTAGTAATAACGACTAAAAACAACCGAACTATAGGAAAGGCGAATCTGTCTCTTAGATATCCCCCACGGGCAGTGAACGAAAGGACTTCCGTGAAGTCTGAGTTAATACTCGAATAGGAGAAAATCACGAACGCAGCGAATTCGTTACAGTTAAAACAACAACAATAACAAAAAACTTGAGAAATTATATATCAACCTAATGAATAATATTTCATGTTTGAACGATATTTCATGAGTACAATACTACCGCGCGGCAAGGAGACCTCAGGTCAAAAGGTGAAATTTAAACACCATTGCTTGTAGACAACGGAAAACGAAATATTCAAAGTAAAAGGAAGAAAATGCACAGCAGTTATCTCCTTTTCCCAGGACAAACCAACGTGAGAGTGACTGCAAATATTATTGTTACAGCTCGACAAGTTATGGGAGAAAAAAGGGAAGGAGGAGAAGAAAGGGCCCATAGCGTGTACTTACATGGTTTGGTCAACATGGTCGGCATGCCTTGGGAGCGTGGACTCGAGCGGTCGCGACGGCGTTGATCTACGTCCGAAAGGTTTGCTGCCACCAACTGTGTGTACAGAAACTCGGTACTAGTCTGGTAGCGCAGTGGTAGCTTGGCCGTATGGCTTGACGAAAGAGTATAACATACTGGTAAGTCGCTAAAGGGCAAAGAACTAGAGACAGCTTGAGCGGTGGCTGAATATGTCCCAGGCAATGGGGTCAAGGGTTGGCTGGAGTCGTTCGCAAAATGGCGATGGAAGGCTGTGTATGCCTGGGTCAAGGGCGCAGGTCACTGAGTTTTCTTTGTGGCGGCGCTGATACTGGAACTGCATGGGGGTATCGCCCGAGGGCAGACGCCATTTTGAGTATTGGAGTTCGTCGGCTGTATGTCTGTCATACTCTCTCTCTCTCTCCCTCACTCTCTCTCTCTCTCTCTCTCTCTCTCTCTCTCTCTCTCTCTCTCTCTCTCTCTCTCTCTCTCTCTCTCTCTCTCTCTCTCTCTCATACTCTCTCTCTCTCTCTCTCTCTCTCTCTCTCTCTCTCTCTCTCTCTCT